CACACACACACGCACACATACACACATATTTTTTATATCTTTGCTTCTCTGGTAAAGGTAGATAAGATAAAGGGTAGATAACTACCCATAAATCACTGCCCTTGGATAAGACAGGAAAACCTACCCATCGAAGGTGAAGTATCATTTGGCGTCGGTGGCCTAGTTATTAGGCTCTCGGACTCGTAACCGTAAGGTCGTGGGTTCAAATCCCGTCAGGGGCCCGACGTTGTGTCCTTGTAAAAGGCACTTTACACGAATTTTCCTCACTTCACTCAGGTGGAAATGGGTACCCGGCTATAGACTTGTCAGTTTGTTAGTGTTTGAGCGCTTAATCAGCTGCTTGCACTGTATGCTTCCCGAGAAGCTGGGAATGTTTTGAAGTGTCCTCGGGTCTGCTGGGGTAATAATATAGTGTAAAGTACATAGAGCCTGCTGTTGAGCGGGGATATGCGCTATACAAATCGTCGGCCTGGTGATAAAACCGTCTAACCCACAAAATATCAATTGGCCCTATCGATAGTAAATTTTCCATTTCATATGCTCACTCAAAGGCATATCTGAATTTTGTCTAGAAATGTCTTTAAAACGTTAGAAATAAAACCGTATAACCCGGCACCCATCGGATTTTAGCCCGATAATTCCGACTATCCCACCTTCGAGGGACGGAATGAGGGTTGGCTGTTTTTATCGCGCTAACAATGAGGGGCCACTTGCTACGTTACCGACTAACCCCGGCTTTGACTCCTCTCCGGACTTCGTTTGAAATCAGATTCAGACCTGTAAAAGTCCAGAATTTGCTCACATAACCGTGGGAACTCTCCAAAAAGGAATATTTGTTTAATATTTCTTGTTGGTTTCATTGGGGAGTTACATAGATCTGGTTGTTTCCTCTTTTTTCTTCGTTTAAATGCTGCTGATAATGTTATTACTGACTAAAACTCCCCACTGTACCCACAGAACTGTTCATCTCGTGATAAATCCGGTATTTGAAATGCATCTTTATGGATTTTGTTTTATATGAAACTATGTTCTCTGTCCGCGTGTTCTTCTTTGTATTGTACTCGAAATTCACCGATTGTGAAGGCATTTTCCCCTATTCGGACTACTTATAACTGTCTCTTCTCCTAATCATTTTTCCTACACAATTGAATGGACGAAGTAGATAGCATTTCCTCCTTTACTAACTCACTCAAAAAAAATAATAATTGTGGGACCTGTCCAGGACACCGTCTGCCCCCAACGATCGTTGTTTTTTAAAACGCTTTTTCTTTTTTCTTTTTTTTCATTTGCCGTGTTTATTGTAGTCCTTACCTTCTGAAACATCTTTCGACTTTCTTTGAAAGTTCATTTCGTTTGTGTTTTGAGTAGATTATTTTCTCAGTGTCATAGCCTAATGCTTTATCTTTATATCAAACCTTAACTTACATAACGCTATAAAATTTTATAAGATGATGCCACTCTTGCTGCGACGCCTCTTACCCTCAGCGCAATGGAAAGTGATCAACGTGACCAGGCTAATGTCACATCAGCTGATAATACAATTGTCACCTTTGATCTCTGCGAAAAGGACACGGCATGAAAACGATTGGAAGGGTAATAAAAGGAAGAGGTTGAAAGAACTGGAGATGCCTCTACCCATATCAAGGCACGAAGCGAGCAGGATGTGAACTTGACGTCCTTTGCAGTTGTAAACTGGTTGGTACAAAATGCAATGACATCACTGGTCACTCTCTTGGAAAGAAAAGAGAGCCTACGTATATGCCACGATAAACAGGATAGACAAAAAGAGATCTTACACAGCAAGGGAAAACCCAAGGAGAAATTACAGCCTTCAATACCACTTACAAGAGTCAATGGTCAAAGAACACCTGTTTGTAAAACAATCTTCAAGAACACAACAGGCCTGACCCACTGGTTTATTTAACGTGTCTTCTCCGAAAAAACAAAAAAAAAAAAAACCCCCCCCCCCCCCCCCCCACTAGAACACATCACGCCCACCATGAGAGAGCCAAGGATGACAAGTTGTTCCATAAAGAGGAATTTTTTGACAAACTTTCGAAGATATCCTCCTGTCTACAGATGACAATCCAGAAAACGTCAGATCTGCATCAAGTATACATGGAGAACTTTGCAGAGAGGGTGAAAGCCACATTGAGCTATCAAGTGTTCTGCCAAAAGTTCAAGAAAAACAATGTGGGTTTACTTTCAACCAAGAAAGACCAGTGCGACATTTGTACAAAGTTCAAATCTGGAAACCTCACAGAAACAGAACACACAGCTCAAATACGAATATGAGGAAAGCTGCAGCTAGACCAGAGAAGGAGACGGACAGGGAGGCTGTGTGTGTTCTTTGTATGGAGATCCAGTGCGTCCTTCTGGCCCAATCCCTAAAGACTTCCACCTTATATTATAAAACAAAACTGGCTGTACACAATCTTACGATTTAGGATCTTGCCACCAGAGACGCCAGATGATATGTCTGGTATGAAAGTGAAGTTGG